GCAGAAAACGTTGTTCTGAGCTTCCATGGCAGCCAAGCATTGATGTGTTCTCAGCTAAGTGACAAATAATTAGAGAGCTGGGCAACAAAGAAAGTTGTGTCCAAACTTTGGCCCTTGACTTCAGCTGGGATCATGTGACCAAAGCCTAGGTACTTGCACATGCAATCAGCTGCTGTGGGAGCTTAGAGAAGGTTTTCTGCAGTGCCATTATTACAGAGCCATTTAAAGAGCAGGGTGATCAAAGGGGGAGGTAAGTTCACATGTCTGCTTTAAATTTTTTAACTGGACTATAAATAATGTAGGTGAATGTAGGAAGTAGACTCACATTGTCACTTTTCTTGCTCCAGTTGGAAAATGAAAGCTTTTAAGATATCCCACCCACCCCCCACCATATTTTAGTTATCGGCGTCAATATTAAAAAGAAACCACAGCGCAGCAGATGTGGGTCATGTGTTGTTGTGGCAATATACCGCTGTGACTGTGGAACCTAACCTTAATGATAGTCTAACATAATTAAGATTTTGATTGTGCGTTGAATACTGAAAAATTGCCTGGATGGGAAGGGGGTTTAACACCGCGGATGTCAACTGGTTAATCAGCTTCTGGTACCTTGCACCTAATGATGCTCCCAGACACTGCTGGCCAAGATGCTAACCTGCTGCTTGTCCGGTCGTTCTCGGTCCAGCTCAGCTTCTGCTACGTCAGTCTGTTCCTCAGCCGTGCTGGTGCAGGTTCCCTGCATGGTCCCCTCTGAGCCAAGCACATGGCTAACAATAATATTCATTGCTGGGCTCGCCCCATACTCCTATGTGGTAGCACAAAGGTAATTATATCATTAGAATGAATTAAAAAATATAATAAAAGGATAAAAAAATAATAAGAAGCATTGTATTAGTAGCAGACTAAAATCAATAATATTTTTGCTGTGGAACATGCCGACTGCCACATGGAAAGATCTGGTTGTGAAAGGACATCCCAGCTCCATCATGGAGGGCAGGTTCCAGCAGCAAAGGCACAACAGGTCTGGCTGACATCACAAATGTGCACTTTAAATGTCTGTATGTCTATAGGTCTGTAAATATACAACATGACTGGTGCTGTGTGTACTGCAAGACAACAGTGTAACATTGTATCTATAACTGGCTAATATGACATACACACAAAGCAACAACAGCATGCACAGGTAATGCATTTCTATGTATAAAAAATAAAATAAAAACAAGTGTGACTACATGGTAATGCTGCGCTGGCTAAAATAGATGCTCACCTTCCTCTGCTTATGCCTTTGGCGTTTAGCTGCCCGGGAGCTGCTCACTGGCTTGGCCTCAGAGCTATTGATGAACTGCACTAGGTCTTCTACTTTCCGATGATCAATAACACCGGTTTCCCTTTCTGAGATCTGGTCAGGCTTTTTGGGCTGCTCCTCTTTCCTCTTGGTCAGCCTGAGCCGAAGCTTCTCCCTCATTTCTGTGTAGTTCCTACTAGTTGGTGCTGATGGGGGCTAAATGTAAAAAGGAACAGAGTTAAGTGTAATTAAGAACAACATTTTAAAAAATGGCATTGGCTGCAGTCTGCATAAAGCATATCTAAACCCAAAAAGTAAAAAACTAAAAAAACTATATGGCTAGTGCCATTCCTTAGGTGTGGTGGCTGCATTTTGATTTTGTTTCAGGCTTTACTTCATCAATTTGGAGAAGCAGTGTGGACACCTCAGGATGCTCTTCAGATTTGGACCACAACTGCCACCCTTATTCTCACCTCAAATACATAGATAGAAGATGTTTTATAGTACATAGAAGATTGCTGGGAAGGTTGATAACATGGTTTAAGATTTCAATGCACAAGTCAAGAACAATGGATTTCTGAGTAATTTTCTGTACTTACAGAACATGTACTTAGTCCCCCAAAAAAAGAAAGTAAATGCAGCACCATATCTAAGGACCTCTAAGCTGCAATATATTACACTTTTGTTCTTGGGTTTAGATATAGGTTAACACAGCAGTGTTTTTCGAAGTCATCCCTGTAACATTACTATTACCTGTTCATCCTGCCGTTATTTCTCCACTCCCTGTAGCAAACCAAGTGGTCCAGCAAAAATGGAAGTAACAATTACAGAAGTCCCAGTCTCAGCTGTTACATGGTCAAAGCAGTTGTCAGTCAGTCAGTCAGCAGCAGGAGGCAATGACTGCAGTGGATCAGATGAAAGCACAGCTGCCTCTAGTTCACACAGGAGGGTGACAACTGTCCTGCAGCATGGAGAGCTGGTGGTCACCCTATCAAAGAAGCCCTCATGGAAAGCAGAAACTGGCAGGACCAACAGGTGGTTATTCGAATTTTACTCACACCAATATACAAAAACCTGGCACGGCTATATTTACAAGGCAAAAAGGAAGCAGTTCACACATTTATTCTATAACAAGTTGCCTAAATGCCGAGTAATAGGGAAGATCTTTAGCAGAAATATTCCAGCGTCACCACATACCTATGGAATTCTTATACACACTGGGCAAAGAACAGGTACACCTTAAATTACTCTAAGATGGCAAATAACTTAACCTAGCGGACTGAAGAGAACTATGGCCTAACCTTTTTTGGCCATAGTTCTCTCCAGGGTCACAGGAGGACAAATACCAATGTCCTTCCGTGACTCAAAATCCAGTATACAGCAGGCTATTGCCTTATATATGCCGAGAGAGCAGAGTGGTGCCACAGCAAGGACGGAGCCCGACAATACTGTCAAGATACACACCCCACTGGCTGGCCGACAGCTGGCTCTGCACTCTAGAGGCAGTGCCAGCTGCGCCTGTCCCCTCCCCATCCGTTCCTACATTCATCGCTGGAGGATCGGAGAGGGGAGGAGGGAATCCCTGCGGGGAGAGGTGACTGACAGTCCCCACTCTCTGCAGGGAGAGGATCGGGAAGTCAGCGATCGGCGGTGTACGTTTGCCGACTTCCCAATCAATAGAGCCAATCTGTGACAGCTTCTTTGTCACAGGTTGGCTTGAATCATGAGGATGATTGTTTTTCACTCACCCTATAATACTCATTTAAGAAATGAGGACAAAACAAAAAAAACATATTACATAACGATAGCTGTATGTTTGAAACTACTCACCCCTCCATGTCCAAAGAACTCGCAGTAGCAGCAGTCACAGTATTTGCCCTCTTTCTGATTGGTGGAGGTGGATGTGCTGGAGCTGTGTTCTGAACAGCTGTCCTCATCCTGGCTCTCTTCACCATCATACTGCTGGTGGTCATATGCACCATTGTTCTCGCACCGATGACCCTCACAGTCCGGGTCACTGGAACAAAAATGACACAGTAAAGTACTCTTTTTCTACATACAGTTGCACAGCTACAAAAGCATGGTAAAGGCTGGAAATCACCATGTAACATCACTATAAATGCTCATTTAAAAACTCAGAGGCACTTTGAATAATTTATTGAAATTTTAATCTATATATGTTCCAATATTAATACTCTGAGGTACTTCAGAAGAGTCTGTAATTACAGTTGGAGATAGAAACCAGACAGTGGGGTAATTTTTGTATTGTATAGTTAAACAAAGGTGTTTGTCCATGAAACCCTGCTGTAATTGTGGTTAATGAGACTCAAAGTTATTTTTTTTTTTTTAATCCCTGCAATTTGCGCTGGCTTAATGATAAAAGAGCGGCTTTAATTATAACACAAATAGGTGCAGTTCTGGTGTGTGAAAAGTAAGAAACGGGAACTTATTGTAAAGGGATTTTATGGATATGGAAGAACTAAGGCTGAAGAAATGGCACAGTTGCTATTACTGCACCGTACTAATAACTGAAGACTTGAACAAAAAGCACTAGTATCTGAATATGACAGCAGCTACGATTCTTACTCCTGCAGTTCCCTGGTCACAGAAGCCCTAGTCTACATGACTGAGCTATCTCATTAATAGGTCATTTGGAATACACATTTATATACTAAAGTATATATGTAAAAAAAATACATATATAAAACACACATACATACATATTAGTACATTACAAGACAAAAGGTCTTAGATTATATGCTGTTGCCTTTAGGTGATTGGACACTTGGGGGGGGGTCACTGGGAAGCATACAGGGGGGCAAATGTGAGCAACACCTTCCACAAAGGCTTTCACCAATTAAAGGCAAGTGGTCTTTGAAAAGCTAGGGCCAAGATTTGCCCCTTAATGATACTCAAAGCCAAATGGTGATCCAGACTGGATTGTAGAAAAGGCAAGATTCGCCCCCGAGGAGTACTTCCTCGGATGAAACCTAGCCTCGCACCAAGCAAAGTAGGCCTTCAGGGTGCAATGGTAGACTTGCGAGAAGTCAACTTCCAAGCCTTGAAGAGCATAAGGACGACCAGATCTCTGGAGCCCTGTAAGTGAGAACCTGAGCTCCAATAGCCGAGTCATTAAGCCAGTGACACAGAAGCAGTATGATGGACCAGCCCCTGGAACAGAAGATCTGGACCACTCAAGAGGGGCCCATGGAGGATCTGCCAGAAGTCTGAGTATGTCAGTACACAAGTTCTCCTGGGCCAGCCCAGTGCATTGAGAATCACCACTATTCCCTACATCTAATTTTGCGGAGCAGATGAGGAAGGAGCTTCAGGAGGAGAATAGAGCTGCAACAGTTAATCGATTAAGTCGATTAAAATCGACGATTGAAAACGTTGGCAACGTTTTCAATCGTCGGCTATCGATTGCTTAGCCTGTTCGGGGATCCGCACGCGGTCTTAGTCGCACGTCACGCGCTGCTCCCGACATGCCCATCTCCTAGCCGTGAGCTCCCTCAGTCGCCGCATAAGCCACGTCTGCCGTTGGTCTCCTCTTCGCCGTGAGCTCCCTTGATGGACTACAATCTCAATAGAAACTAGTAGTCCATCACTGTAGCCTTTTTTTTTTTATCCGATTAATCGAACTTAATAAAATCGGCCAACTAATCGATTATGAAAATAATAGTTAGCTGCAGCCCTAGAGGAGAAAAAGGAGTAGTTCAGGATGAATCGGATCCCGCAGAGCTACCAGAACATCCGGGTAACTTTCATGCTGGCAACAAATTATGTCCAGTCTGTTTTTGGACCTAAAATAGTGTTGCGAGTCAGCTGCACTTCATACAGCCTTGCGACCTTACAGGATGACGCCACGTGGAACCCCAACGAAAATCAGTTAGACGCCAACACACACAATGTATTGTTGATCCTATTATGTATTTATGAATCACTGGCCGCATTTGTCATACATAATTAACATTTTCGACATAGCAACCCTTCAATAGTGCATTAGACATAAATAGTGCAACAGGAACACCATAGGTGGTGGCACTTGGTGTATATTCGTGTGTAATGCATTATTGAACTGTCACTATGTCACCATGAGGAAGGGATCCTACACGGCCCCAAAACGTTGGCTACATATGGCAAATGGTGACAGTGATTGAATAAAATGTAATAGGATCAATGATACATTGTGTGTGTGCCATGGTGACCATCTGATCTTCATTGTTGGACACCAGGAGGCCCAAGGCCGGAGTCCCTCACCTGCAAAGAGGGCTTGAAAAAAACCTCTGCGTGGAGAGACCATTCTCCAGAATCCGCATGTTGACAACTGAGGAAGACTGCCTGCCAATTGGACACTAGCAAAAAAACGAGGCTTGCTGGGAGAGGGAGGGGTTATATTAAGGCTGTCCTTACAGCTTTGTTTGCCGGTGTCCAGTCACCAGAAAGCAGCGGCATATTACCCATAGTCCAAGACTGATCCTGTGGCCTGTAATGTACAACTTCTTTTTGTTTAGGGAAAGGATGAGCAAAAAAAAAAAAAACTGACAATTGGCAGGCTTCCTATGACAGAAGGGACTGCGTAATTCTTCTGACATAGATGCTTCTTTCTACCCTTCAGCATTTTTTTCTTTCTGTGGGCTGAGCTGCAAAAAACACAGAGCTAAGTGCACAGACCTAACATGCCAAGAAGAATTAATGTCATCGGGGCGTGGCCAATCAATTCGCCTAACACAAATGAGAAATCAGAAGACGACCATGGCAAAGATGGAAGCACCAGTGAGGGAGACCCTCACCCCTGGAAGTAAATGGTTTGGCAGGCAAGTCTGCCATAATTTGTTATTAGGGATGCACTGAAATTTCGGCTGCAGAAACATATCGGCCGAAAACCACGCAGGGTTATCATATACACACATGCACGCACTACACATAAATGGTTAAACATGATGGACCTGTGCCTTTATTCAACCTCAAATACTACTTAACTATGAAAATGGCACTTTTGGCAAAATGCCATCTTTCGACCGAAATTGCAGTGCAAGCCTTGTTTTCCCTTCTCTCCGCTGCTCTGTGTCTCCTCTGACACAGAGCCGGGTCCAGCGGGGAGGAGAGAAATAGTCAGGAGAAGGCCGAGCAGTGTAATCGCTGACTGCTTGTAAACAATTGACAGAGTATGTTTACTGTGTCCCCAATTATGAATGAATGGAAAGTGCTCATCATCACTTCCTGTTCATTCATCATTGTGAACATGGTAAACATAATCTATCCACAAGTTATGAATGAACAGGGACACTCAGTATAGAGGATTCCTGTTTATTATAACAGGGGCTGCAGAAAAATCTTTCAAACATTTTAAAAATTAAATACCATGGGTCTGTTTAGCCCCCTGATATTTTCCCAGAGCCCCGACAATAAAGTTAAAAAATTAATTTTAAAAAACCATTTTCGGTATCGCTCTGGCTTTATTTTATTTTTAGTTTCAAAATTTTATTTTGGTGCACCTCTAGTTAATATGCTGTGCATACTAGCACATTATGGTTGAAAGCTCCTGGGGGCCTGTTTTTAGCTTTATTTCAGCTTTATTGTTGCAAAATCAAAGTCCATTACAACAATTTACACTTTGGTCAAAACAGATCTGTTTGGTTAGGGTGATTCCAGCATATTTTTACTGACTGAGAAGGAAAGCGTGCTAAAAGTGGTACTTTTAAAAAGGTATACAACATCATCAAACACAGGAATATGTAGCTAGGGTTGCAACGAACGATCATAATCAATTAGTTGGCCTATTATTTTTTCTTTTAATCAATAAATTCCATCTATTATTTTAAATAAAATAGGACAAATGCGGTGTCACAAATATGAAGTTTACTTCAGAACAAAACAGCATGCACATTTTTTGCAATCGCACTGCACTGGAATGCACGACAATGCAGTATCACACGTTCCAGTGCAGTCATCACACTCCAGAAGGGAGGCACTTTTGGGGTGCCATTGAAATGAATGGCACCACAACGCACATTCCAGAGCAGAATTTGTCAGGCCGAAACCAAAAATGACTTCTCACCTCTTTTTATAATTTTTTTTTTAATAATTGTACATACTATGCAAGACATTTAATAAGTTTCATGGATTTAACAATCTGATTTGTAAAACTCTAAGCCAAAATAATAAAACTAACAAAAAACTTACTTAAAATAAAACCAACATTGGACAAAAATATATAAATATCCATATCTATAAAAAGCTCAGTCATCAGTCATATAGTTAGCCATGAATTTTGGCCTGACGTGTAGCACAATGGCGGTGAGCAATACCGATCCTCCAATTGGCTATTTTAAATTGCAATAACAAGCTGGCTATTGCACCTGCCCACTGTCAATCAGCATAGTCGGGAACTGAAGGCTAAAGTTCACATCGTTCACAATCGTTGATGATTCTCATTAACAATTATTATTGAATAAATCGATTAGTTATTGCAGCCCTATGTGTAATTGTGTCAAAACACATAGGGAGTACGTGGCCGTATGCTCACCCGAACTGCACATCCATGCGGGTGTCCGTACCCGCACGCAGACAGGATGGCTCCTATCTGCGTCTGAGCACAGACACCCTCACGGATGTGCAGTTCGGGTGAGCGTACGGCGGCGTACTACCATAGAGAAGAACAGGCTGCTGCGTACAATCACACTCGGCACCTGTCCTTCCCGGGAGTGGCCCAATGAGGCCTAAAAGGGAAACACACAAAATCAGAGTACAGCTGCTTGACTACTATTTTTGGCTACCTAACCACTCACCTGCAGACACTAGGAGGGGCACTGAGCGTGCTGTCTGTGGTTGAGGTCGGAGGAGCAGCAGTAGAAGGACAGAAACCTAGATGAGGGTCGACAAACCCAGGTGCAGTGGCAGCTGTCTTAGGGAAAGGTTGAGGATTTATACTGGGAAGGTGCGGAGTGGAGGCAGACGAGTGTGTAGAAGGAGACAGGGAAGGAAGTGCTGATAAACTTGGACTATTTCTTGGTGCAACTGGTGCAGAAGGATGCCTATGGTCCTCCTTAATATTGTGAAATACATCACCTAAAATCAGCAGAGGAGAAAAAAAAAGGATTATTAAAACTTATGCTCTAAAACAGATCTGATCTAACAGAGAAGCAACGTATCCGTTTAAAACAAGAAGCTGTTGAAATCATCATAGATAACCAATTAACATGAACTTACATACTTTGGAGTTGAAGATAAGCTAAAACGCAATTCAATGGGTGACAGCCTAAAAAATGTGACAGCATCCCTTCATTTCTTCATCAAAAAGTGTTGCCTGACAGCACATTGTGCTAATTTCTGGATTTCAAAGAAATTTAATAATTAGAAACATGGAAACCCTATATCTCAGAAGTATATCTGGGAGGTATGCCAAGAGAGGTAACTATAGCAGATATGCTCCACCCAAAGTAAGATTTTTTGCACACCAAAAAAAAAACAAAAAAAAAAAAAGGGACCTTTCGGTTATACTGCCACCTACAGTAAGATTGTACACTGGCAAAAAAAAAGTGAGCCAGCCCAAGATAAGCTCAGGAGGGGCAGGCAACACATCAAATGTAAGGTAACATGCCCAAGAAAAACAACAAAGAACTGCAGGCTGCCTGCAGCTGAAAGAACCCCTTCCACCCAAAGCTGGTATTGGATACAGCCAGAACATCCAGCTGGACAGAAAACTTGGTGGCAACTTTGGAAATCTGGGAAACAGTTGTTTGATGCGGAACAGAACTCAAGTAGAGTGCGCCTCAACAGGAAAGGGTGTATCCTGGATCCATGAGATCATAAGCTTGAATGACAAGTCTGAGCCACCTAGAGATGGTGGAACGAGAAGCTGGTATAACCTTACCAGAACCATAAGATGACAAAAAGTGACAGTGGCTTTGAAAGAAGCTGTGGCTGAGGGACACACTCTCCACAGACCAAACCACAACTCAACAATGGAGGGAAATTCCTTATGGTGAACTGGAGCCAGACAGAGGGAGGAAATAACTATGTCCTGTAAGTCAGAAACTACCTCAGGCAACAAGGGAGTCCTGGGCCTCAACACTACCTTCTGCCTATGCAAAATCAAAAAAGGTCAGTTGCAGGATTAGGCCACCAGTTCAGATGGACAACTCGCAAAACTGATGACTACTAGGAATACACCTTGTGAGTGTGAAGGAAAATGGTGGTTAACTAAACAGCCATTTGTATGCCCAATAATTACACTGCACATTCCATCTGTAGCAATACAGGGTCTCTTCATGGGTTAAGAATAATAATGCTGAAACATCAAATTTATGTTCTGTTTAAATGATGTGATGTCTAACCGAAGGAGTCAAATCCAGATGACCCTAAGAATTCCTAAAAATAAAATAGTAATGTACTCATTAGGTAATTATGCTATGCTAGTTAGTTTCTTATGTAAGTGCCCAATCAAGGTATAATGGGAGAGTTTTACCACATAGATTATTCATGTATATAATCTGTGTAGGAATGGCCTTATGCAGACTTGACCTGTTGTACGGCACATTATAGTTTAAGTGCCTCTGGCCATACTTTAATCAGACACATTTTCTTGCTACTTTAACTGACTTGGGTCTATTCTACAACAAGAGGAATGTCTGTGGGGTTTAAGTGGTGGTTTCTGAAGGGCAGAGAGAACCAGATTCAGATCCCATGTAGCCACAGAGGAACAAATAGGGGGAGCTTAATGGGAGAATCCCTGAACAAAAGGTTTTAAGCAAGGAGTAAAAGGCCAGCGGCCTCTAAATCAAGAGAGAAAGGGTAGAAACATGACCTATAATTGGCTCTCAGCACTAACGCTGGTCCAGACCCAAGTGCAGGAAGGAGAGAATTCGTCCCATGGAGAAATTCCTAACACCGAAGCACCTAGTAGGAATCACAGGATTTTAGAGGCTGCAGACTTCAGCAACATCAAAAGACTTGACGCAAGCAGCCCAGAGTCATTAAGAGTGTGCAGTGGGGGCTGTCCTACCCCTGGAGGTGACCAAGAGTCACTGTAGGTGGGCAGCAGGATCAGATTGAAGATCAAAGTTCCATGCAGCTCTTTGCAAGCAAGAACAGCAGTAGGGAGATTCTTCCTCAAAGCTGCATGGTGGCAATGAGCGTGGGTGCACTCAAAACTCCACCTAGTGTAACATCAATGCTCAGTCCCACAGAGTTAACCCCTTCTACACTGGAAACTGGTGGGAAATGGGGAATTTATTAAAAAGGTACCTACCTATGCACTTGAAGTAGCTACCTTGCTGGGCCCAACCAGTTCACTAAAAAAGGGAGCTTTCAAATACAAGGCAAGCACTGAGGCAATGCCAGTCCCTTGGACATGGAAAGCACTTCCCAACTCACTTTTTGTCAGAATGGAGTCTGAAAAGCACTCTACGCAGAACACAGAAGCTCACATCCGGGCTGCCCCAGTAACGTCCACATATGGTAGCCCAAAAGCCTGAAAAGTGCTGAATTACATGAAAGAGGCAAAGTATTAGCAGAAATAGAGACGAGTCTTAATTAAAGAAGAAAAAGTGGTACTATTAAAAATAGGATAATAAACGCAGCAGAGTTAGAGAGAAGATATATACCCTTCTAGGACACCGTTAAAAAAACTGAGGCATGATGGCAGTGGGTTATCCTGGGCTGGTGTCGTTTTTTTTTCTGCCAGTGTCCAATCCTCTTGTAAGCAGCATTATAACCCGAAGGTGAAAGACTTCCTGTGTCCCTCAATGAAAGGGAAAGAAAAGAGATTTGATGTTACCCCTACCCTCATTCCGTCTCACCTATTGAAGAAGGCCTCTTGGATGATACTTTGAACTGGTTGCTACTGGACTGGACTGTGGTGGCTGTGCAAGAAACGGATGAGGTTGCGGATGAAGTTGCCATGACAACTTTATTTGCTTCTATAAAGGCATCCTGAAAATTATAAAGACATTTCTTCTTGGCAGTGTTTTTTTTCTCCTTTACATCTGGAACCGGTGTTGTATCGCTACTAGACGTTGTAGGAAGTGCTTCAGGCCTGATTTCAGGGAGTGCGGGCCCTAAAATATCACCCCCTAAAAAAAGGTTAAAAAAGGAAGAGATTAGGAGACTATAAAAAAAAAAAAAAAAACCCAGCCAATGATAATTTAGATAAATCATAGTATTTTATTTGTTGTTCCACAGTATTCCATATGTTGTTTAAAGTGGGTTCTTTACTCAAAACACCAGACAGCCAAATCCAGAGATTTGCACCGAGGCAGAAGGAATTTTTTTCATTGCCTGTATCAAAATGGGTGAGCCACTATAGGCCCCCTCTTTTCTGCTCTCTAGGTTGTCTCTTCTATAGAACGTTGACAGGACAGGTATATCTGCAAAATGTAAACCTTGCCCTCACATCACCACAAAGAAGCATTAGTTAGAAAGGTCCGCCATTAACGAACATTTAAACCCAAGAACAAAAATTTAATATATCCCATCTTTCCAGTCCTTAGATGTAGTGACTGCATTATTTTTCTCAGGCTAAGAAAATTTTCAACAACTACAGAAAATTATTTGTTGATACAATTGGAAATCTTGTGTCCTTAAAACATCCTGTGCACTGAAATCTCAAAACAATTTTATCAGCTTTCCTCCTCTTTCTCCATAGATACAGTGCAGTGACTGAACTTTGTCACCCTAGGGCAGGCAATGTATTATTGGCAAGATCACCAGGTATACAACATAGAGGAAAAGGTTGGAAAAAAAAAACTAAATGCAACCACCTCATCTAAGGACTGGCAAGCTACAAAAGGTTTGTTTTTGTGTTAAGATATGCTTTAAACCCTTGTTCGGTGGGGCGCATCTCATCTACCCTGTAGGAGGTTAGTATAATTTTTTTTTTTAAACAATTCTCTCTTTAGCTGACTTGCCAACATTGCCAGTGTACTTACAAAACAAATACAGAGAATATAGAGAATAGCGTGCGAGTGTGTGTATAATAAAAAAGGCAAGCATGTGCTACTTGGTATGGGAGGTTTAAGAAAAACCTGTTGTCGTGCCCTGAATGGTCAAATAACAGGCTTGTTTTATATATATCTATATAGATCTATCTATATAGATATATATATATCTATATAGATGACTACATACACGTATACATATATATATAGATGACTACATACACGTATACATATATATAATATATATATTTCCCACCACGGCTACATTTAATTGTAGAGTAAAAAAAAACAGTACTTGGCCCAGAGCCATCTACAGCTAAATCAGCGCCGTCATACCCCGGGTAAGTTACAAATCAAAAGTTTCCTCGCTTACACAATGCTTCCTTTTTGCTCCCAGCAGCTGAACAGAATGGAAGGGAGAGGACAGCAAGTATATGCATCTGTGAAGGTCTGCATTAAATTAAACCTTTCGCTTTTACCCACATGAAAAGAAAAAGCGCAGATTCCCATTAACTAAATGGACAATAGATGGATGCTCCCTATACTCCATACAAGTGTTTAAGGGAGTGGTTTGCCACCTTTGATGAAGAAAACTATGATTGAGGCTTTTCTGGAGATTTCAGCACTCATTTCTCTGGCTTCAAGTATCCAGCAACAGTCAAATCGCCAAGAAAAAGAATTTCACAGGCAAGACAAAAATCCTATTTTTCTTTATCGCTCATTACAGGACACAGGATGGTACTTAGGAATGTAGGGGCCCAAAGCAATACAAGTGCCAACAGGGCCACATAAAATGTTAAAAAAGGGGCTTGAAAGAGCTTACAGAATCTCCTGAAGAACCTTATGACTGGAGCTGGCATCAGATGAGGCTGAATATCTACTTGGTAAAACCTAAACGACCAGATAGCAGCCTTGCATATCTGAGAACAGATGTTTAATGCGGGAAAGACCAATAAACTAACTGATCAGGTGTGTGCTTTGACAGGGAACAGAGGAACCTTGTCGTTAAGCCCATAGGATAAATGATAATTTGTCTAATTCCCCTGGAGAAGGTGGATCAAGATGTGGGTGGAAACCTGAAGGGGCCCTCGGGAATGACAAAAAGGGAGTCAGTTTGTCTACCTGAAGCCATAGCCAAGAGGTAAACTGACACAGCAAGTACCACATCTACAAAGTGGAGAGTTATCCTTAAGATGAGGCGCAAGACAAAAAGGCAGGACAACATCCTGCTTAAGGTGGAAAGGAGAAACCACCTTAGTAAGTAACGAGGCTTTTGGTCTTAAAACAATCTTGTTTCTATGCAGTAGAAGGAGTTCTTACTAGTTACACCTTCCAACTCAAACACATTGTGTGGAGGTAAAGGCAACAGGAAATACACACTTATGAGTGTGTTCAAAGGGAAAGAACCCTGAAAAGAGCAGTTTCTGGAGAGCCCCAGCCTTCGTGACCTGGGTTTCAACAACCAGACCATAAGTTAGCAACCATGAAGCAGTGTGGTAAACTGATCCCTGTGACAGAAGATCCAGATTTAGAAGAACCCCTGGAGAATGTGCCAGGAGTTTGACGGGGTCCAAGTGTCACATCTGCCTAGGCCAGTTTGATGCAATAAACTGATCACATGGAGTCACCATGCATCCACTGCTAGGGTCAGGGGGGTCTTAGATCTGGACACAAGCCTTTCTAGATTGGTATGAAAGGTGGTAGGAAAGACTTGTCCAACTCATGTTGTTGAGTGAATGTGCTGGTCCAGAGACTCCACCTTCTCGTCTCTTGCTGCCAGAATGGTAATTTGCAACAGCCTGGAATGAAATTAGACTTAAGGTACTGCTTTGAAGGAAGCTACCATTAAGCCCTGAACCCTTATACAGAAGCCGAGGGATGACTGGCTCTTGAACTGAAGCGCCCCAATAGGGAAGTGGAGTTTTCCCCTATGGAAGGGAAATTCTGGACATGGAGGTGTCCAAGTGATACGTCTGTTTCAGCAAAGATTTCCAGAGATTCAGGATCCACCCAAACCTCTGCAAGATTTGCAAAGTCTGGACATTGATGGAGTCTGTAGCAACTGTTCCCTCAGTAGGTGGTCATCAAGGTAACCCACTATAGAGATTACCTGTGGTGTAAAAAAGCAGAGCAAATGCAGGAGCTAGCACCTTGATGAAAACCGATGGTGCATTGGACAGATGAAGAGTAAGAGTAATGAACTGGTACTGTTGAGTGCCCATTGGAAAACACAGGGGATCCTTTAATGTAATGGAAAGAGGAGTGCTGCGACAAAATTAGCCCTACAGTCTGCAGCAATTGAAGAAACTTGCTAGCAGAAAAAAAACTTGATACAAAATAAAAAGGTGTGCTCATCTCTAAGTTGAGAGAAGATGTATGTCTCCTAAAGACACTAGGAAAAAAAACTGAGGCTTGCCGAGAGTGGGAGGGGTAATACAGGGCTGTCTTAACAGCTTTGTGTTGCCAGTGTCCAAATTCCTGAAGGGGCAGCATAAACCTACATTTCAGAATATCCTCCAGTATCCTGTAATGTACAATAAATACTCTTTTGTTGAATTCACCCATGAATTACTAATAGCAATCTTTTTTGTTCCTCTCGGGCTCTGAGCTATCACTGATATGTCTTACTTAGTTTCCAGCCCCCTACAGGTACCCTGAGATATTTCCTCTGTCTCTGAACTAAAAGGATAACAGAATGTAAAAGACTTATTTTTAGATAGTAAATAAGCAAGATTTTACTGTAAACCAGGATCCAGGTCGAACAGATAAGTAAAAAAAAAAAAAAAAAAAGCAAAAAAAACCCCAAAAGACATGACTGACCCATTACATTTTGGGTCAGCATTCTCCAATTTGGTCAACTCAAACTCAACTTCCAGGCCCCTGTTTAAATATTAGCCGACTCCCACATTGGCTGAAACGCTTCTGTATCTAATTTAAATTCTCCATCACTGCTGTAAACATAAAATCTTGGTACTTATTACTGCGGAGCTGGCACAGTTGTCAATAGCAGCCTGGATTAGGTGGATCCTCATTTCCCTAAACACAGGTTCTCCAGGCTGCAGTACAAGAACTGAACAGTAGTCTCCAGGTCATGTCCTGACACATAGCAATTATATTTTAATTGATGTTAACTTGTAGCTGAAGCAGCATTTCTGGGATGTATCTTCCTAGACATTCCATCCATTTCGAAATATGACCTAGCTGTGTACTCGCTACACCTCTTCCTCATGAATTTATCATCAAGAGAACATAGCCTGACTGTGGTTATTGGAAACAGAACAGTTCTGGGCTGTTTAACTGAATCAAGGCAAGGTAAAAATATCAAATGCATAAGAGGGACCAATGTGTACCAAGGGAATATATGAAAACCTAAATCCTACCATAAGGGTAGTTACTAAAATTATGAAGAGAGAACATAAAGCTAAGCATAGGGGTTCATGCACAAATGGTACCTAGGGCTGTACCACGTAAAGTCTGGGCATTTTTCCCTACCCGGGAGCCAGAGGTGCTGCGAAAATCAATGGCTGTATGCAGGTATACGCAGTTATTTTAGTGTACATGAGCAAGCTTATGCATGTACAACTTTGGACGCAGTCTGCATTATGGGTAATAGATCTTTACATACTATATCCGTGTCTTTAGGTACCGGTGTACATCCCCCCTACAGCTATGTATATTAATTTTTATAGGCGCCTTCATGCAGCAAAATTAGGACATATTTGCCAGACAGGCAAATATGTCCTAATTTTACATTGTACAGCCCCATGCACCAGTGTGTTAGAGCTGTAAATTCATTTAAAACATGTACTGCAAATACAATGTTCATGTTTAAATTAGTAAA